AACTTGTGTAGAACTGGTAGTATTCCTTCCATAATGGTTGGGAGAATATACCAATGCATTGTTTATGGGAAGGTTTTTAGCAATAAATTCAGTTTTTAAAATATATACAGGGTTATTTAGGTCTGTCCCACTACTTGGTGGAACCTGGATGGTTTGTATCTTTCAAAGTATTTGTCCATTTCATCTAAGTTTTCACATATATAGGCATAAACTTGTTTGTAATAGTCTCTTTTTATCCTTTTAATATCGATAAAAAATGTACTGACATCACCTCACTCACTACTCATGTTGCTAATTTGTGTTTTCTTCCTGCCATAGTCAACCCGGCCGGGAAGTTTTAAGTTATTTTCATTTTCTCAAAGAACAGCTTTTGGTTTCAATGATTTTTTCTGTGTTGATTTTATGCTTTTTATTTCACTGATTACAGCTCATATCATTATTTCTTTTCTTCTGTCTACTTTGGGTTACAGTTGCTCATCTACTTGGTAGTTTCTCAGGGTGGAAACAGAGGACACCGATTTGAGATCTTTTCTAATACATTGTAGGCATTTCCCTCTAAGTACTGCTTTAACAGTGTTTCACTGATTCTGATATGTTGAGTTTCCATTTTCATTTAGAAATCTTTCTAATTTCTTTTTGATTTCTTCTTTGGCCTGTAGTTTGTTTTGAAATGTGTTGCTTAGTTTCCAAATTTTGAAGTACTGTTTCTCTTACTGGTTTCTAATTTAATTCCATGTAGTCTGAGAATATGCTTTGTGTAACTTAAACCCTTTTATAGCTGTTGTTTTGTGCCCCAGTACAGTAGGTCCCCTTTATTCGCAGGGGATACATTTCAAGACCCCCACTGGATGCCTGAAACTGCATAGTAATGAACTGTAGCTAAGGAATGCAAGGCCAACTTTTCACTTAAAGAAATCACTTTACTGCTTCTCCTTACCGTATCTCAATTGCTAGTATCACTGCTCTTGCACTTTTGGACCATTATTAAGTAAAATAAGGGTTACTTGAACACAGGCACTGATACTGTGATAATCAATCTGATAACCCAGGCAGCTACTAAGCGACTCACGGGCAGGTAGTGTAGACAGTATGCATCAGTTGGACAAAGGGCAATTAGTGACTGCACAAGATTCATCACACTACCCAGAATGGCATGAAATTTAAAATTTCTGAATTGTTTATTTTTAGAAATTTCAGTATAATATTTTCAGACCACTGTTGACTGTGGGTAACTGACATCACGGATAATGGGGCGCTACTTTATATTGTCTGTCTTGGTAAATGTTCTGCGTGCAACTGAAAAGAGTATTTTTTGTTGAAGGTAGTATTCTATAAATGTCAATTAGGTTAAGTTGGTTGATAGTGTGTCCACATCTTCCATATCCTTTCTAGTTTTCTGTCTATTTGTTCTATCAATTTTGGGGGAAGGGAACATTGAAATCTTCAGTGACACAGAATGTGTCTGTGTTATCTTACTGTGAACAACTTTTTTTTTAACAACCCCTTCCTTTTTTAAGACTGTGTGTGTTGGGGGTGATTCTCAAATCTTTTCGTAGTCCTTTGGAAGGTTTCAGTGGTTATGGAGAGAAAATTCACAATCAGAGAAACTAATGTCAGAAAAACAAACAAACAAACTAATAATGCTTAATATCATCTTTGCTGAAAATCTTTCCAGATTATTGTCTGTCATGGAGTTCTGAATTTTGATTCACTGTTTTTTGTTTGGTTTGGGCATCTGGCCAGCAAGGGGATCCAAACACTTGACCTTGATGTTACTAGCACCATGCTCTAACCAAATGAGCTAACTGGACAGCCCTGATTCATTCTTATAAATAGAATCCCTTTTGCTGGGCAAGGATAAGGGAGTCATTTTTATCTTTGGCTAGCAAGTCTCACAAGCAGCTAATAAGAAGGAGAGTTTTAGAATCGTCTTCTTTGGAGTCTTACTTACTAGTATAGGTAGAGCTTTAATTATAGTTTTCTTGGTGTGCTGAAGGGATAGGAGTAGAAGGAACCAAAGCAATGAATTTAATGATTACTTAACAGTCCGTTCTTGTTCTCTTTGTATTTGTAATCTAATCTAAGGTTTGTTTTTAAGAAGAAAGAAAGACTCCTAAGTGATAAATGTGTGATTTTTATGTTAAACAGTACAAATAGTGAAGTACAGATGTATCAACCAAACCCTTAGGTCACAGTGATCCTCACGTGCTTGACCCTGCCTGCCTGATGCCAGGGTCCACATAGAGCACTATTCTCCTTTATTCCTTTTCTGTGCATTGGTGGAGTAGCAAAAGGAATAGAAGAGAGATTAGGTCTTTGTCTAGTCTGTGACTGTTCTAAAGATTCCTTGTGTGCTAGTCAATGTAGTGGGCCATGGGGTGTCCACTACCAATAGCCATTATGGCACACATAGTTAACTAAGCCCAAGGAATTGGAGTTTCTGGCAGAGAGACTGGGGTCATTCATTTTCTCTAATTCCCTGGGTGTTGGTTAGGTTGGCATGGTCTGCTGCATGGGACATGCTCCAGTCTTCTAGCAGCATGAGTATTAGTCAGAGGAGATGCTCTGTGAGCACAGGGTGGTACCATTCTGTGAAAGAGAATGACAGATGAATGGTCAAAAGTGTCTCTCGTTTTCTGTAGAAATCTAGGAGTTAGGGTATGAGAATATCTAGGATATAGAGTTGAAGTTTTGTATATCATACTTTCAAAATAAAATGTTTAAAGTATTTTGTACTTAAAATTGTTTTTATCTTTGTATTTAAAACACTTTTATGCCTCTCTTAAAGACAATATTCTTAGCTAGGCTGTGGGCTCCAGAGATAATGAACTCAATTAGTAATTTTTTGTTGTTGTTGCTCAACCTACAAAGCCTATGGAGAAAAGGAGGTGCTGCACTTACACTGTGATTACATTGGAAAATAGTACTCTTCTGTTTTTGCTCATATGGACACACTCTGGCTCTTTAAGAATTTGAATCTGAAGCACATGCTATTGATACAGGTTTCTTCTATTTATGTGTAATTATTTTTAAATGTAGAGACTTTAATGTTAGCAGTGATATGTACTTGAGTAGTATATAGATTTTAATTAAGCTATCCAGTGTTCCCTGTATACTAAGATCAGGGAACTGTTAAACATGGAGTGCCTTTCTTATTGGTGGCCAAAGCATGGGCTTTGGAGTCAGACCTAATTTCCAGCCCTGAACCCAGTACTCAATACCTGTGACACTTGGTGCCCTCTGCAACAGTATAGAAATAACACCATCTACTTTGCAGAGTGGTTGAAAAGAATTAAGATAGATGTCAATGTTTCCTAGATACTTGTGTTATGAAATGTGAGTAGATCTCTGAAGAAATCGTTTCATGAGGAAATATGACTGTACGCAGTGTGCTCTGTTTTCCTCGAGCTTCACCTTGTGTGTTAAGACATTAGGCCTATGGTGCAGAAGTCTGCTTTGCTTAGTTTAACTTTGCATTTCCCAGTCAGAAGAACATCTTCTCCTCCCTTCTTCCTTTTTGCTCTCCTGCTCCCTTATGGAACACCTGCAGTACTCACTCATATTAGAGTTTATTACTTTTGTTTCATGGAAAATATTTTTGAAAATAAAGCACCTAGCAGAGTGCTCCTGATTCATACTTGATCAATGTTAGTTTTCTTTTCCTCCTTTTCAGTGTTAATTTTAGTGGTTGAAAAACTGTACTGTAAACTCAGAGACCATTTCTTTTAAATAATTTTAGTATCTTCTGAGTAAGTAATAAGCCATTTAATATTTTGTTCCTAATTTACTATCATTTTGTTCATATCTTTAGCCCAAAATGTTGTTGTAGACTTCCTGTAAAAATCCAGGAAAGGCAAGTGCAGTGGTGATAGGAGAGTAAGAATCTTAGAAACTCAGTGTCTGGTCAGATTCCTGCTTCACTAATTTAACACAATTTAAATATTCATAGTATTTCTGGAAGTACTGCTCAGAGCCCTCTGGGAGTTACACAAGTACATTGAAGGATATGGTTTAGAATCTTCCTGTACCTGCTTTGAGCCTCTCAGCACTAGGTACGAACCATCCATATCTTTCTTGAGTGATTTGTAAGAATTCTGCAGATGAGAAAAATGAAAAGTAACATCTTTACAATGAAAAAGCAATATATGTTAAATTAAAAGAATGAAAAATCTATTTCCAAAGTAAAAAACAGTAGAAAAGCATTGTTTTACCAAAAAATTGATAAGAATAAAACATACAAAAAAAGAATAAAAGTAATTTTATACCTAGGGATGTTCTTTGCTAACATCTTATCTTCCTAGGCTGTTTCTTAGGTGTTTTCACAAATATGGTATCATATTATATATGCTATTGTGTAGCCTGCTTGTTTTACTTAAAAACTCAAAGTGAAAGTCTTTCTGCCAGATGTCAGTGAGGCACCCTTACCTCCCCAAGAGTCTGCCTCTTCAATGGATTTCTTCATTTCTAAGGAATATTTTCTGGCAGTTGTTTGAGGTTGGAGGGACGAGTGATGAAAGGAACAAGGCCTGTGGGAGGGTAAATTAAGGCATCGTACAGTTGATTATACATCAACTATTTGGTGAATGCAGAATTATGTGAAGTATTTTGGTGATTTTTCTTGTACAGATCCAGAAAGATTTGAGTTTAACTTATTGCTTATAAGAAAAAAGTTTGTCAATGTCAAGAGCTGATGTGCGCATGTTGTACACACTTAGACTTAATATAACACCTCAAATTATTGTTGAGGAGTGCTGAATGGTTCGTTGCCTTTTAAAATTAAATTAAAACAAACAAAAAGCCTAATAAGAATTCATAGGATAGTTTTCTCCTGGTGAAAGATATTCCTGAATAAAATGTTTTTAAACATGTTTTAATCTGATTGTATTACTTAGAGATTTCTTTTATGACATCAACAGTTGACAAAAGGAAGAGGTGAATTTCTCAATTACTATTTTTCTGAGATCTTGACTTTTCTTTTCTTTCTTTTTTTTTTTTTTTAGGTGGCTATCATCCAGTGAAAATTGGAGACCTCTTCAATGGCCGATATCATGTTATTAGAAAGCTAGGATGGGGGCACTTCTCTACTGTCTGGCTGTGCTGGGATATGCAGTAAGAGTTCTTTTTCATTTCTACATTTGACTCCTGGTCCAGTTCAGTATCTACGAAGGTGTGACTAAGGGTCGTACTGACTTTGTTGTGGCAAGCAAAGTGCTTAGCACAGGCCGCCCAACTAGCTAGATTCTTTTTCCCCCCTCACTTTGAAGGTCATTTGGTTAGTTTGAAGGTCATTTGGTTAGGTATTCTAAAATATTAACATTCTTCTAGCTTTATTTCTGAAGTTTATTTCTTTTCTTTTCTTTTTTTTTTTTAAGATGACCGGTAAGGGAATCTTAACCCTTGACTTGGTGTTGTCAGCACCACGCTCAGCCAGTGAGCGAACTGGCCATCCCTATGTGGGATCCGAACCCGGGGCCTTGGTGTTATTAGCACCGCACTCTACCGAGTGAGCCACGGGCCGGCCCTGAAGTTTATTTCTTGAAATTGCTTTACACTGGGGTCAAATTATTTTTCTGGTAATTCATTTGTACCAGAAAAACAAGGTGTAAAATTAGTAATGTATAGGTCAGTGGTTTCTGACACTTTTTTAAAGCCATGATCCATAGAAAGAAACTTCTTTGCCACCCAGTATATATATGCATGTGTATTGTGTATGCACATGCGTGTGCGAGTGAACAGAAACACAAGTGTTTTCAGCGAATACTTTCCCTTACTATATGTGCTAACTCTAACATTTTCCTAGTCTACTTTATTTTAATTAGGAAAAAACAAAACAACAAGCATAAAAGGGATTGTGCGTCTTGACCCATGGATCCACTATTTAGTTGTGGTCCCACAATTCGAAAAGTACTGTTTTAAAGGATAGCTAATTAAAAGTTTCCATTCATTGGAAAGATCTCGTTATAATGATCACTTCTTCAGCTGATAATATATATATAAATGTGCATTTTTTTTTTAAGGGGGAAACGATTTGTTGCAATGAAAGTTGTAAAAAGTGCCCAGCACTATACAGAGACAGCCTTGGATGAAATAAAATTGCTGAAATGTGTAAGTACTGCAAAAATGTGAGTGATATAAGAAAAATTAATAACTTAAAATCTTACAGAGGGGTTTTTTTCTGGGTGATGCTAAAGTAGAATTTATTTTTCATAAGTTCATATGCTGAATCTTTATTTTAAAAATATTACTTTTATTAAAACAATGTTGGTTGGTATAATGGAAAAGATTCTTAATCTTAAACTGTTCTTGCATTCATTTTTCTTTGCATAGGTTCGAGAAAGTGATCCCAGTGACCCAAACAAAGACATGGTGGTCCAGCTCATTGACGACTTCAAGATTTCAGGCATGAACGGGATACGTATCCTTTACTTCCTGATGGCTGAATTATAATATATTTTTCTGTTTTTACTTCTAAAAAATGGAAATATTTCAAGCCCCTATTAACTTCTGTTTGCTGCTGTATCATCCTCCACATAAAGCTTCTAGGATCGTTGTGAGGTGTTATAAAATGGTGCACCTAGAGGGGTCTGCAAGAGCTTTTTGGTGTAGTACAATTTTAGAAACTTTTTTTTTTCTTTTACAGCAACTTGCCTTGATTTTGGCATGGAATTAAGTATTGATCTTTTTTCATTAATTGTGGCAAAGTTTATTTTTGCATTGGTACATGGAAGCATATGACAGCACTGCTTTGCGCTTTAAACTTTTAAAATCAGTGCAGAAGGGCTGTCTATATATGTGCTAATGGCTGCAAAGCACCATGTGAGGATGAAGCTTTTGCTGGGACAATAAAAGGAAAAATGCTCTGTTAATGTTGACATCCCAAAGTTACGCTTGAGTGCTATTAATACTAAAGTGTACTAATAACACTGAATTCTGTTTCTAGAATAATACAACTTGTTCTTGCAGAGCATCATCTTTCTGCTAGATGAATATGGAAGTATTTTGGTTTTATTTATTTTACTCTCAGTTTTTCTACTTTGCAAAAGATTGGTAAAAGCAAAATGATAAATTTTCTATACTAGTTGGTAAATATGGCATAAGCCAGTGCTTAATGAAAGAGACTGTCACTATCCTCTCAGTGACGGAGATGGAAGGATTACTTAAAGCCCAAGTACTTGAAAGCAATGAGAGGCCCAGAGGGCCTACACCAAGCTAACTCCCATAGGAAAGGAGAAAGTCAGCGCAGCCTAAGCAAATAAAAGAAGCTCCTAGTCTGAAAAAGAATGTGTTAAACTTCGCCGAGGGAAGTAAATTAAAATTCCCAATGCCCCATAATATGGGAGGATGCATCTCTTTCCTTAGAAGGCTTAGGGAGGTTTCTTACCGTTCCATGGAATGGCCTGTAGAAAGTATCATGTCGGGATCACCAAAATGTGGTGAATGTTGAAGCGGAGACAGTAATGAACTGCTTGGAGACAATAGCAGTTGCATCCGAGGGGCTAGGAGTTAGGAGTGACCGTTCACTAAGCTAGTGAAGGCCTAGAGTCAAAGTCCAATGGATATTTATTATGAAAGCCATGAGAAAAGTAAGCGGACAGGGATAAAGGAGGGGAAACCCTGGGGCAGAACCTCCTGAAATTTTATTTGAATAGACTATACTGCATACTCCCTTGAGTTCGAGAATGCCGCAGTTTCTATCAGCTGGTGTTATCATCCTGAGAAATACGGCGTGTAGCACATCCTGCATGGGTACTGGTGCCATGTGGCCAGAGGTCATGGCTGTCCTCTTAGGAGAGCGTATCACAAGATGTTAACCCTCTACAAGAGACCTCCATTGTTTTTCTTTAAAAACTTTTATTATGCAAAACTTCAAACATATATAAAAGCAGAGATTATAGTATAGTGAATTTCTGTAAATACATCAGCCAAATTCAATAATTATCAAGGTCCTTTCTCTCTCACCAAATTGTTTTAAAACAAATCCTAGAAGTCATGTTCTTTTGCCTCTGTGAATGTCAGCATGCATCTTTGAAAAAAGTGGACTTTAAAAAAATATATAATCATAATCATCACCAAATAAAATTAACAATAATTTCTTGATATCACACCATTCTTCCTTATTCAGTTTTTTTTGGTATCACAACAATGACTTACTAAAGACTTGTTTGGATCACATTCCAAGAAACAAGGTTATTTTTGTCTAAGTTCTCTTCCTCCTAAGTCCATATCAACTTACTTTGCTTAGTTGAAGATTAAATGGTTCAATTTGCATTTTTCTTTTTTGTGTTAGAGTGTGATACAGAGTATTTGCTTTCTCAAAAAGAAACTATCCTGACTGGGCCGGCCTGGTGGCGCACTGGAGAGTGCGCCGCTTGGGAGTGCGGCGGCGCTCCCGCCGAGGGTTCGGATCCCATGTGGTGACCGGTTCCCGCTCACTGGCTGAGCATGGCACAGGCGCAACACTGAGGGTTGCGATCCCATTGCCGGTCCCCAGTACGGGCGCAACACCGAGGGTTGCGATCCCGTTACCGGCCAGTAAAAAAAGACAAAAAGGAAAAAAAAAAAAAAGAAGCTATCCTGATTGACATTAATGATTTTCGAAAGATAAAAGAGTTCCTTGGTCAGCTATAAGGTTAGGTATTTCTCTTGCTTTTTAAGAAGGATGGTCTGGGCCAGCCCTGTGGCGCACTCGGGAGAGTGCAGCACTTGGGAGCGCAGCTGCGCTCCTGCCGCGGGATGGGATCCTATATAGGGATGGCCCGTGCGCTCACTGGCTGAGCACGGTGCGGGTGACACTAAGCCAAGGGTTGCGAACCCCTTACTGGTCACAAAAAAAGACAAAAAAAAAAAAAAAGGATGGTCTTAGTCCTAATTCTAGGTCTTGTTGGAAAAGAAATGTATCTAGCAAGAAAACAGAGCAAAGGCATCTCATGACTTCACTTTCTCTTTTGAGAATATCAGTTTTGACTGCACTGCTGTTAAGTTGTTTGGGCGCCTGTTGGTTTTGGGGGGGCTCAGAAGGAAGTGATTGGGGCTTGTGGAAATGAGCTTCTGTCTTATCTTCACCCTCCCTCTGCCTGGGGAGCTGGCAAAGGGCAGCCCCAAGGGGGGAACAGCAGAGAGCAAAGAGTATCCCCAGACCTTAGCTCAGAACTGAGATTGCAAGTGGAGAGAAAAGATATGCCTTTAGTATCCAGAATGCTCTGTCCATATTTCCTGTTGGATTCTCTGAGATGGCCCTTTGTGTGCATGGGGTAGGCAATACCTTCATTTCTAAGCTTCAGGAATATTGGACCACTTATTCAGAGCCATGTGACTGATGAGTGCCAAGGGTATGTCAAGAGCTAGGGTCTTCTTGCTTCTCTCAGATCTTTTGCTCTTAAGTATATTGTTTTTGGAACAGATCCAACATTTTGATATTTGACCTTCGCAAGCTCCAGACGCCTGAGGACAAGGCCCTCTCCCAGCTTAAACCCCGGAATGACATCCAGTTTCTGCCTAGTACTACTAAGTCTTGATCCTTTAGAGAAGCACACCCTTCACTCTATATGTTTGAGGAAGTTTTCATTTTCTTCTAGAAATTGGGCTTGAGGATAGTAGGGAGTACCATCAACTGCTGATGTCACCTCAACCTTTGCCTCAAATCATTTCCGTTAACTGCTGAGTGCATTTTTTCATTTTGATAGATAGAGTGAGCTGGACTTTCTCTGTCCCTGCTTTTGCAAGTGACCTGTTTGTGTAGGGGCAGGGCAACTGCTCTTGTGTTAGAGCCATAAGGCCTTTCCTGGTACAGCTAACAGGGAGAGGGTTTCTTTTGAGAAACCACTTGATTTGTAGGTAAATGATGTTTTTTCGAGGTATATTTTCTAGTGGCTATTTTTATTTTTTTAAAAAAATGCTGAGAAACTATCATAGTTTAGGTGTGTTAGTGCTTTGAGAAGACTTTGGTCATATTTCAGAAATCCTATCTTTGGCCCTATGTTGGCTACTAACTTTAGTCCTCTAAAATATTTTCCCATTTTTGTAATGAGCCTGGGAAATAGTAAGAAACTTCTGGCTTTAGATAATCTGTGTATAAGTCTTTAGTGCATAAGTGTTTCAGTAGTATAGAAACCTTTTTCATTAAAAGTATTTTAACTAATAGTATTATGATGTGGTAGATCCAGATGTTACTATGAAAAATATTAAATCAACTAATCTTTAAGCCTCCAGGGATGAACAAAATAGTCTCAACAATTTTCAGAGCCATTTAAAATCTTCCTGTATGAGTGGCATGAGTGTATTTGTATATTGAAATTCATGGGTCACAGTTGTAGAGGGTAAGTGGTTGGCTAGAATTTCTATTTTTAAAAAAATCCAGATTCCTGAGATTTCATTATTTCATATTGGTCTTATTGCTGTGTCTTAAATTGTGATCATACATTCTTAACAGCTGCCTGTAGCATTAAAACTGATCTAGTTATGCAATGAAAGATATTACTGAAGGAAGGATTAATTCTGCTAACTGCTGAGTGCATCAGTGATTCACTGTGTTTAATAAATTTCGATTTTATAATGTGTATTATGCAACCTATCAAATAGAAATTTAGGCAGGCAGTTAGGACACTTAAGACTCTGGAGTTCATTATTTTTCTGCATCAGTTCTATGAGGTTCCAGCCATGCCTGTGTTCATCAGGCTGATTGTCAAGGAGGAGCATGTTGAGATGGATGAGAGCCCAGCTCAATGTGGGCTCCAGTCATGGCTCAGCACCTGTGGACTCTCCTTGTTTCCACAGTGGGGGTAACTATATTTCCTTAGGTTTTTTGGAGTAGACATTAAATAATACTTGTATATGGCACATAGTAAGTACTTAGTAAACGTCAGTTCTTTTTATTTAGGTAAGAAACAGCAGTGACCACTTTTGGTATTATTGACAGTATAGATGTATTTTATAAAGAAATAAATGTCTTCCAAGTGACACAGTGGTGCTGCTTTCAGGAACTGCCTCACTTCAGGAAATGCATCCACAAATGATCCTTAACCATGTCTGAGATGTCTGCATGGTCTTTGAAGTGCTTGGCCACCATCTCCTCAAGTGGATCATCAAGTCCAATTATCAAGGCCTCCCCGTACGCTGTGTCAAGAGTATCATTAGACAGGTGAGGCTTTTGAGGGCAATTCCTACCCCCCAATACTTATTTGGCTAACCTTTCCACATGAATTCCTGTTTTAAAAAGAAAAAAAAATATGTACAACATTTTGAACTCTTATTAAATCAATTTAGTATTTACTTAATGCTATGCCTCTCTGTATTGTAAAGGGAGCAATATGTAAATGTCGGACATATGTTTCTTTTGGCATGTCAGTCTTTTTTATTTATGTGATGTAATCAGAAATTGTTTATCTGATATCCTTACTACAAAACATTGCACTTAGTTCCTTAAAAAGTAATTAAGAAATAGTACATTGTGTTTATTTACTATTTCCAAGAATCTTTGGGTGGAGAGTAAATCAAAGATAATTTAAGAGTTGCTTACAAACTTTTAGTTGTAAGTTGAATAAGTTCTGGAGATCAGATGTACAGCATGGTGACTATGGTTGACAGTACTGTATTGTGTACTTGAAATTTGTTAAGAATGTAGATCTTAAATGTTCTCACCACACACACACACACACACACACACACACACACACACACACACACAGATAAAGGTAAAGGCTAGGTTAATTAGCTGGTTTGTGGTAATCTTTTGACAGTATATACATATATCAAAACATCATGTTGTACATGATAAATATATTCAATTTTTATTGTCAATTTTACCTCAATAAAGTTTGGGGGAGAAAAGAAATGTTTAAGTTTTATAGGAAGCATTATATTAGATTTGTACTTTGTTCAATTGCCTTTTCAAAAGAAAACCCTCAGCTAAGGTTTGGATTAGTGATGAGGCTCCAGTAAATATACATACATATGATGGTATGTATAGATGGAAGATCTCCTTCTAATTAGCCATGTTTACCAGATTCATCGTTCTGCGTGGAAAGTATCAGTCTGCATTCTACTCATTGTCCGTACTGCCTGTATTAGGAAAGTTGCAAGTAAGATTTATTCTGGATGGCTTTTTCTGATGTAGTGGATAATTACCATGAAAAATTCTGCAGAGTAAGTAATTTATCAAGGAAATTGCTGGGTTTTCTTGAGAAGAAGGTGGGTAGTTTGGAGGTTTTCCCCTCCCCCACAGGCCCAGAGTTCAGAAAAGGCCACCCAGGGGTTCCAGGCATGAAACACAGACCTCAGTTCAGAATTCTTAAATAGGAAAAGAATCAGAATGATTCACAATAATTGTGAATTCAAGGGATGGGTGCCTAAAAAATAACCTTCCTAATGAGTATAAATAGTATGTTTGCATACGTGCACATGAGCAGGTTTTTTTAACCTATTTCATAAAAATTTTGTAGCTTAAATTTGTGTAGTAAAAGCATCCTAGATTTTGCTTTTGAAATTGTGTGTAGGTAACTTTATTTAGCCTACCCGTGTGTTTATTTCTTCACTTACCTTTGTCCTTTTGTACTGCAAATTGGCACCTTGTCTTCCAACTTTGCAGATGTTACTTTTGAAGGGAGCTGGAGAGAGAAGGGCTCTCTGCATTGGCTTATCTCTGTTGGATTGAGATACTTCTGCATAATATTATGCTAGGTACACATGCATGCCTCCTATAGATTTGTGGCCAACCTTTGTTTAATAATGTATCTGTTCCCTTTTAGATTTTAGAGAGTAGCATTTTCACTTGTTATTTTAACCTAGGCTGATATCTCAACTGAAAAACAACTGTTCTTTAATGGAGAAGAGGAGATGTGGTGAGGATGGAAATTAATATGTTGATTGGAATTATTTGATCCCCAAATGACACTTGGGTGGATATTTTAACTTTTTTCTTTTTAAAAATTTTTCCAAAATTATGTGTGTATATATGTTATTTATAACCTTTAGTGGCAAAATTAAACTTTAAAAGAAATCATCTTGTTAAAACTTGAGAAGAATCTTATAATTATCTCTACTAAATTGTGAAAGTATTAAAGGATTTACACATTCTAACAATAGCAAAGAATTTCAGAATTAGCTGCCTGCATGGGTGGATTTCACCTGGGCTGTATCATCTCCCAGAGCCCTGTGCTCTCAGCGATGTCTGCTGCTGCCATGGGTGACTGAGTGCATCACTACTGTTCAGCCTCAGCAGTGTGAGAAGGTGAATTCACAAATGAGCCGTTGATGTTTATTTTATGTTATAGAGTGGGAAAACAAAACCTTTATAATATCCTTTATAATAAACTGGTAAACGTAGGTATGTCTTTCCCTGAGTTCTGTAAGCCGCTCAAACAAATTAATCGAACCCAAGGGTGGTGGGGTGTTGTGGGAACTCTGACTTATAGCTGCTTGGTCAGACGTTCCAGGAACCTGGGATTGTGACTGGCATCTGTAGTCGGGGGCACTTTCAGGGACTGAGCCTTCAACCTGTGGGATCTGATGCTATCTCCAGGTAGACAGTGTAAGAATTGAATTGAATTGGTGTCTGTTGGAGAATTGCTGGTTGTGTTGGGAAAACCACCACACATTTGGTTAGAGACGTCTTATGTGCTGATTGTTGCTGAGTAAGGGTATAGGAAAAAATACTGTTTTTAATGATGGTACCTTCCTCATAAGATTGTTGTGAAGATGTAAAGAGATGTTACTGCTAATAACAAATATTTATTCCATGCTTACCATGTAGCAGGCACAGTTCTAAATACTTTGCATGTTTTAATTCACTGAATCCTCCCAATAACCCTATGAAATAGGTGTTATTACTTTCCTCATTTTATGGAAGAGGAAACTGAGGTGTAGAGAGGTTAGGTAACTTTCCCCTAGTCAGGAAGTAACTTAAAGAGTAGTAAGCGATGGTGCAGGAATTCAAACCCAGATAGTGTGGCTTTGGAGCTCATGTGTTTACCATGTTGTCAAGCAGCACATAATATGTTTGGAATTGTACTGGGCCTGTGTCTAATAGAAGTTAGTTAAATCTCTGGTTTTTTTTTTTTCCTGAGAACCTGGTTATGGTCTTCTACCTTTTTTTTTTTTTTTTGTGGTTGGCTGGTAAGGGGATCCAAACCTGTTATAACCTTGGTGTTATAAGGCTGCTCTCTAACCATCTGAGCTAACCGGCCAGCCCAAGATCTGATGTCAGCCTGTATTTCCTCGTACAGACAAAAATTTATGTTCTTCAGGTACCCAGTTTCTCTCACAGTGTCAACCAAGTTACTGATTTGTTATGAAAATTCAAAGATGTCCCAAGCACTTATAAACATGTGCAGATTTACCAAAATTTCTATTCATAAGTTTTGCTGGCTTCATTTTGTAGATAGTTTAGAGAAAGTACTTAATGATGATAATCATCTTGAACCCTAAATACACCTTGCCATTTTTATCTTCACATCTTTGATTATTTCTTTTGTCCTAGGCTACCGAAAGTGCCATCCTTTTTTTCCTACTCACATTTTTAAGGCTCAACCAAAGTCCCACCTCTGTGACAAAGCCTTCTCTCACTACCCCAGTTGAGAGTGGTATTCCTTCTCTCCTTGGAATGCCTGCGGCCCACATTTAGTCCTTTAACTAATGATTGCAAGGTTTACAGTATAGGCCAGATCTCCTCAAAACCAGTGCTATTGACATTTTGGACTGGATAATGCTTTGTTGTAGGGGCCTGTCCTGTGCATTGTAGGGTGTTTAGCAGATCCCTGGCCTCTATCCCCTAGATGCCAGTGTCAGCCACCATCCCAGTTGTGACAATTAAAAATGTCTCTCAACTTTGTCAAATATCCCCTTGGGGGTTAACTTTCTTCTCGTTGAGAAACGCTGGGATAGGGGAAAGTGCAAGGTTTACCTGCTTTGGCCACAGACTTGGTTTCAAATCCTAGCACTTGGAAATCCTAGCACTTTCTGTTTTGTTACTCTGATCGAGTTACTCAGCCTCTGTGAGCCTGTTTCCTCATTTGTAAACTCAGGATGATAATGCATAATTTGTAGCTTTATTGTGACATAAAGAATGAGGGCCTCCTTGTAAGGCATTCAATCATAGTGAGTAGCACAAACCAGCCATCACGTCTCCTCCGCTCCACCATGAGTACCTTGGGGTTAATGATCGAGTATTGTGAGTTACACATCTCCTTGCATCTTCCTTTATTAGGTGGTCAAGAAATACCTTGATTTGTTGTCTTTCCTTAAATGAGGGAAGAAATGTATGTTCTCCTATTCTTTACAAAATGGCCAACCTTTCTGTGATTTAAAAAACTCGTAGGTAAATGTTGCTACTTGATTATTTTCCAAAGGAATGACAGAATTGCTTTTTCAGGGTTTCCTCTACACTCTTGTCAATCCTTTGATCAGTTCTTAGCTGTCCTCATTTAGCTGTGGCGACCCTGTGCCAGGGCAGAAAGGGCCATCCTGGTGGCTTCTGCTGATGGCTCTAGTGTGTGCAGCACACCCCCATACCCCCACCCTGTGGCTGCTTCTCTGGCCTCAAACGTGGAGTCTTGTGGCCGTTTATTCACCCTGCAGCTTTCATTTTTTTCCTTTAAAAAAAATTACTGAGGTCTATTTTATGTCTACCCCCTTTGTTTTTTTTCCTCCTAAAACTGAAAAAAGAAAAGGGTGTTTGTTTGGCTTTATTTGTGGTACATTAAAAGATGTGCTGAAGGTAATGGTTTCTTTAAAATCCTTTGGTGTTATTTCAAAGTGGCTTTGACTTTCTTGTGGAATTGAAAGGGTAGCTGGCGTTTGACGTTTTAAAACTTTATAGTTTAATTAATTGCCCTTTACAGAAACCTTGTAAGAAGGTGACTGTTTGCCATTAGTTTTTATTTATTTATTTATTTATTTATTTATTTTGTCTTTTTGTCTCTTTTTTCGTGACCGGCAACGGATCGCAACCCTCAGTGTCGCGCCCGTACCGGACTGGGACCGGCAACGGGATCGCAACCCTCGGTGTTGCCCCCGCTCCTCGCTCAGCCAGTGAGCAGCCGGTCTGTATGTGGGATCCGAACCCTCGGGCGGGAGCGCCGCCGCGCTTCCCAAGCGGCGCACCGTAGCAGTGCGCCACCGGGCCGACCCTGCCATTAGTTTTTA